AGCCCAAGGGGTGCGTGGTAGAGAAAAGCATTCTGGTCTAGCAGCAAAATGTACTTTTAATTCCAGTTCTGTGATACAATGCTTCAATGCTGGAGAAAACACGGTACCGGGGAAGAAGACAGCAGCCCCAGGAATGAAAGATAATGCAGAAATTATGTGAAGCGTTTTCTACTTATATAATGGGCGAGGAATAGTTACGAGGAGCGTTACAGTGACGGTAGGAGGCACGTAGGAGAGAGATGGCAAGATGAGAGACAAGCGTCTGGGGAAGTAAAAGGCAGAGAGGAGAGGAGGGCTAGGTGGGGATGGAGGGTGGGCAAAGAGGAGGGCATGGGAGGAGGTTGTGCAAGACCCAGGCTCGGTCACACAGGGACAAGCAGTGCTGGTGGAGGGGAAGGTTGGCACGGAGAGGAGTGCTTCAGGGAGGTAACCGTGAGGAGGAGGAGGAGGAGGAGGGAAGCCCATGAGGACAGGACTGAGAAAGAGAGAGGGGTTTGGAGGGATAAGGGAGAGGCCCCCAGGGATGGGAGAGCTTGCACTGATGGGTGAGAGGCACTCCAGGACTGGCATGAGGTATGCTTTGCTATTGCTCTGAATGCTGTAAACATTTTGGTTTTGTGTCTATCAGTGAACATTCAGTTCAGTTTGATACATGTGCTCTTATGGGTAACTGGAAGCCTAGCGGAGTTTTACGTCTCTTATTACTAGTCAAACTTACACACAAGGCAAACACAGCACTGGCTAAAAATCTCATTTTATGTCATTTATGCCTAATTCTCCTATTTTAACATGCACATCTACGTCTCAGAAAAGCTTCCCTAGTAGGAGACACTAAATAACATACACATGAAGCCACATGCACGCTCACCCACCCACACCCGCATACACACACGCCTATTCCCTCCCCTGCTTTGAGGAGCGGGACTTTGCCCTTCGCTCCTTCCCAGCATGGAGGGCAGGGACCCACCGGTACCTTAACAAATCCAGTAAAAGCAATGGAAATCACCCCAAACCTGGCTGATGGGCCAAAGCAGGAGAAAGAAACCCAAAGCAGATAGATTCAAATTCTGCATCTGCTTCTGGAGTTAACAACATCTGAAGCTTATAGAAAAGGCAATTTGTAAACCTTTCTTCCCTTTTGCTGTCAAAGGACTTGGGAGCCGGCTGGGTACGTGCCAGCAAACGCACAGAATAAAAAGAGCTGAGCAAAACGATTTTTTTTTTTTCTTCCTCTCTTCATGTGATGGCACGCTGACATTACTTGAAACAGGAGGAAAATTTTGGCGGCATGTGCTTGTGGAGAGGGGAAACGGGGTTTGTAAGTTATGAATATCCCCTTCACATCAGTAAGAGATGAATCAAAGATAGGATATTTGTCCTTGATGGGGATTAGTCATCACTCGGTGCTTTCTGAAGCTTTGGCTCAGTCATTATTTCCTTAATCAGCCCCTGTTTTAAGGGGAAGAGCTATAAGCTGCCTATTTTAATTCACTTCAGACTGACATTTGGCATAAAAGCAGCAGCTGGTGCCAATTTCTTGTTTAAAAAAAAAATAATAATACTTTAAATAACTAGTCTGCTTTCCTGCAAGAGAGAGAAACTGTAAGAGCAGCAACAAAAATAACCATGACAGGCTCATATGCCTCAGACAATACTTCTGCTCCACTCTGTGCTCCAGGATGTTTCCTGGGGAGGATATTATCTGGCACCAATTTAACGGGCAAAACACTTCTCCTGCACCAGCCAGCACGAATGCAGTTGCTGCCACGATGGCAGCACCGCCATCTCTGAGTGCGCCCGCTTGGAGCAATTCCCTGTGTTGCTGGAGGAGGGAGGGCAGTTTGGTTTTTACAGGGTGCTGCTACTTTGATGTTTTTCTATGAATTCTGACACAAACTGAAAATGATGCTGGAGGAACTTGCTGAGAGATGTTACCTCCTGGGCTTTTTCTGGAGTCACGCTCTGAACAGGACCAGCCTTTGTAGCCGTCAGAGAAGCCTGGAAGTTGTCCTCACGTCTGAGCTTCTGTTCCTCGTTCCTCGACAAAAACATCTTGGTTCTGCTGTTTCCTCGTCGCCTGGTTGTCCCTGCCACCCTCACTGCCATGGGCGCCTGTAGGGTGCTTGGCTGAAAAGCCGCGTCTGGGATGCACCAGCTGGCACTAGAGGTCAGCATCTCCCAAGCCCACTCAGAAGGTGTATTGGTGGCTTTAAGTGAAACACCACAAGGCAGTTAACACGGCCTTCCGCCGTCTCTTCGAAAGCAATGACTGCGCAAATCTGCTGGTGCTGCCTCTCACACCCAGGGCAGCACTGGGATGCTTTTTGCGTGTACAGTCAAGAGAAGGCTGAAACAGAGGAAGGCAGGGCCAGGCAAGGCGCCCTCCCTCCATCTTCCCTTGCGACACTGCTGGTTTAACACCGCGGCGGTGGGACGCTGACCTGTTGCGTCGCAGCGGTTGGATCAGCGGTCACTATGCCATTTTGCGGTCGCAGTGACGCTGGGTACAACTGGCACCACAGGACATCTCAAGGGGAACTATTTCAGCCAAAGCAACCTGTGCCCCCGAGAGATCCCGGTCCATCCTGTGTTACGCAGGCGTAGTAGACGTGGTGTTTCTTGGAAAGGAGAGCTCTTCCAGCACCTCCTCGCAGTCAGCGGCTTTGTGTCCTCCCTTGCAGGTCAAGCATCGAGAGCATTTCACCGCAGCGTGGGATGATTTGCCCTCCTTTCACCTATAGCAGGAGGGGGCTGTATAGGCGACGTGACTCTCTTCCACTTGGTATCGCCCGCATGCCACCAGGGACTGGATGCGTGACTCTCTATCCTTTCCTTCTGTCTTTGATGCCTTCCAGAGCATCGCACAAGTTTCCCCTGATGCCTGTCCCACTAGACCTTCTTTGCCGGGTACCTTGTTTACCATAAAGCTATGGGCTCACGAACAGCTAAACTCGCGGCTGGTTGAGCCACTGTGTGATGTAGACCCCTTGGATGAACCTGGGGCACTTTCCAAAGCCCACCTTTGACTGATCTTTGAGAATCACTGAGAATTCTAGCGCCAACCAAGTACTAGAAAAGCAGGTTTCCCTACTGAACATGAATTTTCCACTTGCACCACATTTAGCCTTTAGTGTCTTAGAGACCACAAGAATACACCTCCAAAATAAAACAAGCATGCTTACCACCCCTATCTTGATCCTAAACCTATTTGTCTAATGTCCTGCACAGCATCCTTACAAAAAGCCTCAAAGCCTGCTCCCTACCTCATGCATGGACAGTAACTTTTTAATATCCAAGCAGGCTTTTTGTATCTCGTTCTGAACATGTTATGCTTAGCTTTATAATTCAGTCTACCTAGTTTACACCACATACACTAAATCTTTACCACCAGCTTTCTGATTCATCAAACCTACCCACCGCCCTAAACCAGAGCAGAGGTTTACAGCCTCTGATCTGTGGGTGACTGAGAGAAGGAAAAGATCCACGGGGTCGCTTTCTGGGCCTTCATAAGACTAAGAAAATAGACCTCTGGTCTGTAGGCTCAAATCCATGGACAGGCTGTCTGCTTCTCCACTAGAAAATATTGCAAGAATCTGACAGCCGATTAGCTGGAAAAGCAATGCCGTAGAAAGGCGGCCTTCAGATGGTAAGCGCTGTCGCACAGCACAGAGGAGGTGCTACACAGCTGACGTCTGTGCAGAGCCTTCTCCTGCAGCTGGCTATCCGGGCCACGGGGATGGGGCCAACGTACGCTTCACGCACCACTTCACACCTGGACGCTCGTCCTGCTCGCTGCATGCGTCCTGGTGTCCTGTTTTTGAGCAAGCACCATGCAGCAGGGTCTGCATTTAGTAGTTCTTTACACGGCATTGAACCCACAGTGGACAATCGGTAGGTAACAACAACAGTCAATAATCAGTAAATAACAAAAATATAATTGTGATTTTCACGTTACCGCTCCCTGCCATGCGCTGGTCAGGTACTACATGAAAAATGCAATCTGCCATATCAGGCAGGTCTTGTGCTCTTCTTACATCTCAGCATGGGGCAGATGGGACATTCCTCCTCTCCAGTCTTTCCCGACAGCTGGCAGGTCGCTCCCGAGAAGCCACCAAGCCTGTTAATGTCTCTGGCAGCCAGGACCCTCTTTGTGTTAGGTTTTGGTACAGTGCCTAGCACAACGACGCCTGAATGACAACTGGGGTCCTGAGGCTGAACTACAGTACAAATAAATAACACTAATGAAAACCAATCATTTGCACTAGAAGACTTGCCTGACCAGGTCTAGTGAGAGCTTTTGGGATCGCCTTCCTCATGAGAAATACTCAGCTCCTTGACAGTCATATGGAAAATAACTCTTAGTCTCCATCCCTGGAAGATAAGGGCCTGTGACAGGGTAGCAGCTGGTGTCAGAAGGGGTGCAACGAAAATGGAAAGGGTAAGCTGAGTTCACTGATGGTTTCTACTCTGGAAAGGCAGCATTAACCATGTGCCTTTGCTTTCTCTCTCCCTCCCTTCTCTCGCTCCTCACGGTCTCTGGATCCAGACCCCGGCAGCCACTGGTGGGAGACGATGCTTTGGACTAGACTTGGCTTCACAAGTTTCAGAACTGCCCTTAGGGCCCCTCCAAACACAGGGGAGAGGTGAGAGCCAGGGAGATGTCGGGAAGGATGGAAAGGTGCAGTGGTGTTATTTACACACAAACCAACACCCTAATTTTAAAGGAAACCTGCCTTCCCAACAGACGACCCCGTGACTAGAGAGGATAGTGGGTTTGTGCTAGAGAGAGGCAACAACTGCAAGACGCTACCGCTAACCAAAAAAAAACAGCACAGAAACTCAAACAGTCCTAATACCACATTCTGGATCACGCTCTGGAAGCCTCCTCTTCCCCTTCTCCCTCTTTTCTCATTCCCACTGTTTTTAATACCAAGTAAGTTTCACATTTAGACATGGGTTTTGGCTGTTGTGGGAAGAACACGGTTTCTGAGGGCCCCATCACTGCTCTAGCTGAGCCTCCTCTGGGTTTGAGACAGCAGGTCTGTGTAAATTTTGGATCTCAGGAACCTGGGGTAAGAGTCTTTCTCCATCAGGCTGTGCACCTTCCCCTGAGCTTGGTCAAAGCAAGAGAGGGAGGGCTCCTGCATGTTTCTTCTTGTCAGCTCCCGTGTCTGGAAGTCTATGTTCACCTGGGAAAAGTAGCAGAAGAGAGTTTGGTACTGAGTGACCAGTTTGCCTGCTTGAAACGGCACATTTCATCTCAGCCATGGCTGTAAAAGCAGCAGCAGAACCAAGGTCCTACCTTTGTCCATGCCTAAACAGCCCCCCAAACTCTGCGGGTTTTAGCGATCCAGCATTATGAATCCTGCCCCAAATTTGGAAAAGTTGAACTAGATTTGTATTGATCTGAGCAATTCTGAAATCAAATTACTTTTATTCAGGCTCTTAAGCATGGGTTTATGTAGCACATCTTCTAAAAATGCTGACTCAGCCTAACCTCTCTCCTGTTGACCAAGTCCCTTTCGTCTTCACTACTTACCCAATATACGGGTGAATGAACTTTTAGCTGGATTTAAACTATTAGTACATTCTTATTAAATGTTTTAAACTCTGTTGTTATAAAATAAACGGTTTGATTTTTCCCATAACAGCTTCATGTTACAGTATCTTGTGCAGGGACTTGAAAAAATAAGCCACCCTCATGTTATGACTGCCACTTGTTTGTAAAGCCAGCAAGCTGAGTTTTCCTGTTTTCTTTCCCTTGCAAACCAGTCCGTGTTTGTTAGGGTTATTGTTTAAAACCTGGCTGAAAAGATCTTATTTGTTGTTGTTAACCCTGGGTCCAAACTTAAAGGAGTCTGGAAAGTAAAGCTGTCTGCCTTAACTGGGATGACAGCAATATAGATTAGCTCCCTGTATCACTTAAGGGTCATTTCACATTCTAGCAGGCCAAAATTATGACAACAGGACCAAATTTGAGGAAAGACCCCATCCAACCTGCACTCACATTTCTAATCCAGATTCAGCCCTGCAGTCCTGAAAATCTCACCCAGCTTCATGAAGAACAGCAGGAACACGCTCACTGAGGGCGATGGGGGATTGAAGCGTGGCCCGAGATGCCCCCACCACTTGGTATAAATCTGGGTGCTTCTCAGTGGCCTCGTGATCGCCTTCCTAGTTCAAAGATGGGGTGAAGAGAGCCCTTTTAGGGGGATCCCCTCAGGCACCTGTCTGGTGAGAAGGACCTGTGCAATCTCGCTGGAGAACTGCCGTGGGAGGGCAGGCGCAGCAAGCACCCTCCTGGTTGCGTTATGAATACAATAACACAACCCAACATCACGATGCAGGATCTGACAGTTGCATCAGCCTGTCAGTGCTTGAAAGAGGACTTCACAATTCCAGGCTTCGGGTTGTGACTGCACTTTTTGTTCAGCTCTGAGTTATTGCTCGCATCTTTTAAGAGGTCTAATTGAGTTGGGAGTTAGTCAGCAGATAAACACTCCTCCCTGGAGAGTCAACAAGTTAGTCATTCGTGGGATGCTCTTATACAAAATGTCCTGTGAGAAACGAGCCCAACAGCCTGCTCGGGGCTTGATAGTAAACGAGAGGAGCAAGGTGAAATACTCCTAGGAAGCTCGTAGAGGTTAGGAAATGTAGGTTGTGGTTGTCAGTGAACTCATTGGCTGTGACTAATTTAGTATCATCAAAGTAGTTGCCCCCACCAGGGGATGAGTCACTGCAGAGGCAGCTGCAGCAGGCAGGATGGCATTCCCATCCTCCATATCCACTCCTCACCATCACCTCTGGGAGGGAAGGGAGGGCTCCCTGACCCCCCGGCACCCCGCAGGTCCCAGCTGGGGGAGATGGACCTGCTCCGTGCACCGGAGGGGTGCTCTGCCTGCCCGGGGTGCTGGCATACCCACCTCTCGAGGAGCCTGAACATCAATGAACTCCTCAAAGATCCGCTGAGCCTTGGAGGCCAGCTTGGCTGCTGAACGGGTCTTCTTGAAGTCCTCGCAGGCAAGCCAGAACTCCAGGTTTTCCTCGCTGAACTCAGTCTTCAGGAAAGCGCGGAAAGCAGCCAGCCCATCTGCAAGAGAGACGTGGGGAGTTACAACTGGAGGAGACAGAGGGCAGGAAGCAGCCTCTCCAGTAGACATCCTTCCATCCACCCCTGCCTACCAAAGACCATTTGATTTTTTTCCCAAGGTCTGCAATCCCAGGACGGGTCCATAATTTACACCATTGCATCAGCTGGGAGCTGCCACGAAGCCAAACATCATTTGCTGTTGCTCTGAAAAAGCATTTTTCCAGCTAACATGGCAAAAGACTTTCTTTGAGCTTGGGACACCTAACCTTTGAAAAGTTCCTCTTGAAAATGTCAGGCTTCAATGATACAGTCTCTTTGCTGCAGCATCTTGTGCGTGTTAATGCAGCACTTTGTAACGTCCTCTCTGTCATTAAGGAAAACCTTTAATAAAACATAGCATCTGTGGACTTGTCTCCTATGTTTTCTGTCACTTTGCTTTATTGCCTTGTGACATATTTTTAGTTCTTCTTTAAACAGAGGAGGGATCTTGGAGAGTCTAACCGTTACAGCTACAACGAAGGGGAGAGGGAAAGGACGTGGCATAATTACTACTTGTCTAGTCAGTGGTAAAAGTGTTCTTATCACTTGTTAATGCTTAGCAATTGTGACATTTCAGTAATGTAATCCAAGTCAGCTGGGACAGATTAGAAATATGGAAAGATTTATTAGGCAATCTGTGTCCTCTTAAACCCCTGCCTGGGTGTATTTATGGACACAGCTATTGTTTTTTATTTCCTTTCCCTGAATGGCACCAGCAGAGTTGAAGTAGCTGAAGGTTTCACATTTGCCCTTTCTCTCTTCCTTTAGCCTTGGGATAAATTTGGCTGCTAATTTTTTTATTTTTTTTTCCTGTAACTTGTTTCTAACTTTACCTGGTCTTTTCCTATAGGGTCCGGATATTTGCAGATCATGACTGGAAACCTCCTGAATCAGCACTGCCTACTTCCAAGCAAGTGTCTAAGAATATTGGTGGGCTCGGGAATGCACTCGACACAGTCAGGCTCCCGAAAGGGTGAAGGAGCAAGTGCACGTGTGTGTGGCAGGGACGAAGACTGATGAGGGTTTGTAGGACCTGAACTCCTGCAACACGGTGGGCTGGGAGCTCCACCTGCCCTCTTTCTGCCATCGGAGATGTTGGCAGTGCTGCCTTCCCTCCTTCCTCCCGTGGCAGCGGGCGTGGGAGCTCGGACGGAGCCAGAGGGACGATGCCTGATGCTTGGTGAAGGCAATTTTCACATGTCCACAGCAAGCCCAGGCCCACCAGGGACAAGGGCTGGGCATGTCACGGGATCCATCACAAACTCCCTTACAGCTTTGTCCTTGTTTTCTTGCCTGTACGAGGTACGCAGGGAAAAGCAGCAATGTAATTTTTTCTCACCCGTATGTCCTAATCTTATTCCTGCTTCCCTTGTTTCCGCCAATAACTTAGGATGTGGAGATATTTTCCAGCTCTAGGTCCTGAGCCGCAGCCCTAAGAAATGGCCCCAGGTGTTGAACAGCAACTAACAATCCTATTTCTGGCTGCGCGTAAGTCAGGGGAGATGTCTGACTTCTGACTGCCCAGATTCTCAAAAGGAAAGGCAGGAAAGATATTAGGCCAGACAAGACCAAACTACAGGCTAAGCCTCTCCACTCTGTGTTCCTCAAAGCTCTGTCATTAACAGGCTCGGCTCTGCTAACTGCTTCATCAGCACGCTGTGTCGCAAAGAGCACAGCGACCGGCAACTGAAATGGGTACGTCCCGTCTCAGCTATGCCTTCAGCCCCAGGAGGGACAGAAATAGCTGTATCACACAAGCTCATCCTGCCACCTCTTAATTAATGCACTTGTGGGAGAAGATCAGGGTTTTGGACTGCTACTGTGGACAAAACCAGGGCTTTTGTCCATGAGCACTGCAGAGCAATTAAACAGTGCAAATTGTGGGTTCCAGACAGAGGCAATAATGTGACATTAGCCCCGGAGAAGCCCGCAGAGCAGAGAGTGCCAAAGGCATCTCCCACAGCAGGGTACCTGTCAGCATCATGCTGCACGTGGCTGCTTTAAGCCTCTCCACGGGTAGGTAAATACGGTGGATGAGAGAGAGATGTTTTAGGGCTGCTCCCCTTCCTGAAATCTAGGAGACAGAACAATTTTTCAAAACCTGTGCCCCCTTTAAAGCCTACAAAATTCACAGGGCTTGTGTGGGAGCAAGTGGAGGACTGGAGGATAGAGTAGGGAGTCTTTGCAGGAGGAAAAGGAGAGGACATAACAGCAGGCTGACAGGTTTCAGAATGAAGAAAGTACAGAAGGGAGAAAGCAGCAGTTCCCTGAGATGTATGTCATTTTATATACCATCAACTCCTAAGACGCTTGACGTTAAATATTCCAGCACCCAAGCGTACTGTTATGACTACACCGTCTCTGCTGTGCGCCCCTGCAGAGGTCTTGCTCCCCCCTTCCTCTGTCCTGGTCTTTTTTTCCCCTCCGCTTTCCTCTACAACAGCCTCAGAGCCCCAGCACTGACAAAGGATCACTTGCAGAAATAGCAGCTTTGCATGGCAAATAGAAGATCTTCACAATATAATATGTGCAAAAAGAAGGGGACCTCTTAATGACTGACGAGGTGAGCAAGGCGTTTGCTTCAGCCCTGCCCTGGAGAACAGCCGCAGCAGGTCCCTCCTGGGACTGGGAGGTTTCCATACGCTCTGCCTCCTGCTCTCACCTCAATCAACTCCTTTTTATCTTGAAGTAAGTTTAGATGGAGGTTAGATAAGTAACACCGTCTGGCTGTTCTCCACTTCTTTACATATTCCTGTTGTGCCCTCCTCACAGCCTTTGAGGAGCTAGAAATGATGAGGCCGGACCTGGGAGGACCTAGAAATGATGAGGCCGGACCTGGGAGGACCTTGCAGCAGCACCCCTGGACACAGGAGAGGTCATCCTTGACTCGAGGCTGCCTGGTTCTCCACTGATTTCATCTTTAGCCTTTGACTGCCTGCCAGCATTTACAGCTGTGCCTGGCAGCAGGAGCTCAGAGATGGGAGCCCAGATGACTGCGCAGCAGTAAATCGCTGCCCACGAGTTTATCATGGAACAATGACGAATCTAATTGAAAGGGCAGGAGGACAATTAGGTATGGGGACTGCCACTGTCTGAGCCAGAATGTGACCTGGATGTTGACTTTAATCTCCTCCTGCACCTGAAGGCTTATCAAGGAAGCATCGCTCATGAACAGTCAGCATTTCAAAGCTCACCCCACCCAACTGGACAGCTTTTTTGCTGGGGCAACCAGCACTGGATTGCAGTGTGATATTGAGCAGGAGAGCATCACCTACTCAGTCAGCCTCCTGAAGTATCCTGGAAGATGGTCAAGCACCTGAGAAGTGCAATTCCAAAGGGATGTTTTACAGAAAAAGCACAGAAATGAAAAGCAGGATAGAAGTCTTCAGATGCAGCAGGATAAGATATCCCCAACGTGTGTGGCCTAAAGGCATGACCATTCAAGAAGACAGAGATGTACTGGTATAGATGCATGGCCTTTCAGGGCAACCATCGGACACTTATTCAGGAATTTGACTCAAGAGGGGTGAAGTGAAGCCTTGCTTGAAGCCAAAGGAGTAAATCAGTACTGGTGGAGCAGATAGGATGAAGGCAAAGCAATGGAGCGCTTCTACTGAGTGTCAGGAGTCTGAATGAAGAATGGAAGATGCTCACTTTTTACTTTTGCGGTGTAAACGTAAGCTTCAAAATGCTCTGCTCTCTGTTCAAACAGGCCAAAGGAGTGCACAGGAGGATTGTCAGGAAGGATTATGCATGTGTTCATACATTATCCCATCCCAAGATCTGCAGTGCACCATACAGCTATAAACCTGCAGGTCACCTGCAAATTAATCAATGACAAGAATTTGTGTTTTATAGATAGGGACTGCCAGGCAGATCCAGGACTGTGTGAGGACAGGGACTCAGATGCTCCTGCCATCCCATTCAAATGCTGTTCTTCAGGCCATGGAGAGGGGATGGTGATGCTTTCCAGCGGGAAGGGCTGTGGAGGAAGGGACTGAACTGGCTAGCAAGAAACACAACACAGGTCTTAACTAAGGCAAGCTTCAGCAACACAAGGACGAGCTGAGATTAGTGGCTTAAATCACTCAGGCAGACAGCTTAATAACCAAGCATCAGCCACTGTCAGGGTAAGAAAGCAATCAACAATCATATATTTAATGCATGCGTTTCATGCCATCGGGGCCATCAGCACTTCATGTAGGAAATAAAGGTAGAGTCCTTATGGCTGGTAGATGACTGGATTGGCTCTACAGAGCACGTTGGGTCCAGGACTGAAGAGACAAGGCCGTGATGCTCTGTATCACATATGTACATGCTCTCGCTGCTGCTTAGCATTGCTTTGGTGAACGTTAGCTGCCTGTCACCAGCACAGTGCTAATGCTAATGCTGTTCTGGCTTAGAAAGAACCAGGAGTAGGTTGCAATATTCCTGTGCTGTGTAGGAAGAGGAGCGATGTGTAGACAACAGAAGGAGGAGGAGGACAATAAAGTTTGTGCAGAAGAGCAAAGAGATCACAAAACATGGTGCTGGTGGGGGGAAATTCATCCTTAAGATAAAAATGGAAATTCAGTGCAAAGGTTTTCTGTGTCGGATGGTTCGTTGAAAAGTGACTAAGGGTTGAGGACAGACTGTCCTGCTGGATTCTGGACAAATGACAAGCCATGTGTCCAGCCCCGTGAGGGATGGAGAACGAGACATGCCATTGCTTGTATTTCCCTCCAGCAGCCTGTCAAAAGAAATCTCCATCTGGCTGACCAGCCTGTACCTCCTGGGCATGGGTACAGAGCGGGGATTGCTCCTCTGTTACTCACATGCATGCACACTCTGTGGACCACACCGAGATCCACTTCCCTGGGAGCCATTGCTAGTCTGCACTGGCAGAAAATGGGAAAAGATGCCAAAATCTAGCATGTTAAAACCATGGCTTTTGCTTCCTGAGCACCCAAGGAAGCACACTACGTACGATCTGCCTCTTGCTCTCTCAATTCCCTACTGCAAAGTAGGATCAAACTCCTCTCTCGTGTTGCTTGCCGTGCTCAGAAGCCCTGACCCAAGGGACACCGCTGCGCTGTGCTTGCGTCTCTTGCAGCGAGCTCAGACAAGGCTCCTGCTGTAAAAAGGGGATCAACTGGCTGACCGTAGGGTTTCAAGTTGATTTGCTTCACCCATTAGCAAAACCAAGCAGGATATCATTGCATTGACCTATTCATCTGCGGCTGTCAACGAAGCGGAGCCGAGCTGCATCCTACCACTGAGCACTGGTTACTCTAAGAAGGCTGGGCTGAGGGATGCTGAAGTCCCAATGCCAGCGCAAAAGGAAGGTGGGGGGTGTGACAGAGCACGCCTTTCTGCCTTTCCTACTCACAATCTCTTGTTAATGTCAACACAAATTATTCTTTAAATGACCGGGGAATTAATCCAAATCAGACTGCTGTATACAGAGGGGCATTGCCCAGCCCAGGTATCTCTGGAGACACTGCTTCAAAACCCAGGGGTTTTCAATCCTTCACTCGAGATGCTGCCAGAAGTAGCATGTTGGGATCAAACATTACCTACAGAGGTCATTCATTAAAATCATCAGAGGAGAGGGAAGGGGGGGGCTCCACAGGGCCAGCACACTTCAAGGGATATTTGACAAAAATCAGCATAATGACACTCTCCATAGAGTTTGTATAATGCATAATACCTGTTCAGGTCACTTCCATTTAGAAACCTTTTGAAGTCTCATTGAAATAGAGAGTGAAGAGTACAAGCTGTTTGCCTTTCCCATGTATAGTACTGCAGCCCTGCGAGCCTCCTCCGTGCACAAGGGCAGCCTGCTCACCTTGGCACTTCAGAGCTTCTTTTAGGGAGCTCTGATCCACTTTCTTGCTCCTTGGAGCTCTTTTTTTCATCCATCCAGCCCCTTGCAATATTACCCACAAAGACTGCCCCATTTTCAGCTTCTACATCCAGCTCTTGAGTCCTACTTGAGCACTCCGGGTTTGTTTTCCACCCCCCACCCCGCCCAAAGAACAGGCTGGCTGGAAGGGACCCAAAACCACCGTAACACCCGAGGGCAGCAGAAAGTGCCACTCAGCCCACTGAAATTGGCAGCACAATCTCCCTTCCAAACCAGATGAACTGTCCATCTAGCAGAGAAAGAGCTTATGACAGACGTGCCGAGCAGAAGCGGTCTACCTGCTGATGCTGTAAGCCTCAGGGGAAATTCTCCCCGAGCCCAGCTGGTGCTTAGCCTGTGCCCCCAAGCATGAATTCAAATTTTCCCTGGCTAATATTCTTCACCTGGGCAGTCACAGAGAAATTAAGAGTGAGACATTTCTGTCCTTCTCCTGGCACTAGAAAGAGAATATTAGCTGGCGGCTTTACTATGGACAGACGCTGGCAGGCCAGGCACTGCTTTTCTTACTTTGAAAGTTTGGTCAGATAAGGCTCAAGACTCCCTTACCTAACATCAGCGCATGGCTCTAACAGCAAAAATGCAACTCTCCCTTGTTCCATTTTCATAGCAGACTCTGGCAATTCTTGTGGTTTGGGTACAAGCATACATAAGCGAAGCCAAAATGATCTTACAATTCTTTTATGGATATACACTTTTCTCTCCTTTAAACCAGTGTAATTGAAATAACACTTCTGTTTCAATGGAGCTTTTTGTATTTGCACTGTTCTAACCTCTGACTGCCAGGCTAGCACTTCCAGAAACTTCAGGTGCAGAGCAGTTGTAATATATTCCTTTAGAAAGTTGTTTATTAAACAACAAATTTTTTTTTGTCACTGATCACCAGGCAATGTCACCATGACTGCTGATTAAAAAAAAAAAAAATTAATTTAAATTTTGAAAATCACCTTCTGTTGCTATTAGGAACTGAGTATTTTTCATTAGGTGCCAGCGAGTTATCAGTACTACTTTCCATTCTAGAGACAGGAAATATTCTGATAATTCATTTATCACTCTATAAGGCTAATTTATTAATAAAACCAGACACTCTTGGGGAGGCTGTTGGATGAAATAATTGAACTAAGGTTTGATTTAGCATTCGCAGCAGTCAACTGAAGAGGGAACAGTCTGTATAATGTCATTACATCGATGCGTAAATTCACTGGCTTTTGTAACCAAAGCACTTTTGCTGCAGTCTGTATCTAATAAGGAAAATTTTGACTTTTGCACTGGTGAAGGAGGAACAGGGGCTTGAGTACGGAATTGTAACCCCGACATGAATATCCTGTCCTTCCCCCCACCCAATCCCCCAGGCACCCTATAGTCTCTTTGGTGCATTTTTCCCTTCTTGCTCTGAATTTTGACAAAAGAAATGTTCCCTCTCAGCCATACCCAGCTACACCATTTTTTTTTTTTCCTGCTGGCTGCAAGAGCAATGATCTCAACAAGATACTGCTGCTAAAATTATATATTGCTTTTTCTGCCTTGGACAGCCAGCCTGTTTAAAGTTGTCACTTAATTCCCTGCCAAAACTGTTGTCATCTCAGTAGAAATCCAGCAAAATTACACTTTATTTAAAATAATAATATAATTCTACACTTATTTTTTAAAATGTAAGTGCGGAAAAAAACCATGAATCTCTAAGAAAACCAGACAGTTCCTTACTGCAAGAAAATAGTTCACCGCCCCCATTGACTTCTCCCCAACCTTGACTCGCTCTTGTTTTATTCTCCAATAGAAATACATTTGTGAACCTATACTGTGAACTTTGCTGTCTTGTTTATAATTTCTCAGCATGAAAACGTTGGTGAAACAGAATAATATTTTCTGAACAGAACTGATATGATTGATCTATCGAATGGAGCGAGGTGTGCTGATTATACGTTTGCATAAGGTTTCCGGATGTGAAATTTTCAGGTTTGCCTTGGTAACTGAGAGTTAGATCCTGCCAAGGGCTACCATGCATGATTTCTCTGGTTCAGAGCAAGTCATTCAAGGTTGCTGAGCGGCACGCAGTGTTGTGTCGTAGCGCTCCCAGCAAAGGCTGCGCTTCAACACGGCGTGGCTGCGCAGCAGCTCCGAAGAGCAGTCGGAGGGAGAGGGAGACCAGCCAGCGTCACAGATCCCAGAGGGCTTTAGCAAGCTGAGAACCTGCTGTTTGCTTGTGCGGAAAGACCGGACCCAGGGGCACTTGCCAAAGGATGGTACGCATGGCTACAGCCTCAGGGTCCTGCCTCCAGGACTGCATCCTCCAGGTCCAGCAGCCCTAGGAGCTGGAAAGGGCCAGATCTCAGGTTGATGACTATCAGTTGTGATCGCCCAGTCAAAAGCAAAGCCAGGAAGGGAACCCACCGAAACTCATTCCCTTGCCTTTTAACCGGAGGACAAGTCCTGCCTATAAAGACTGTTGCCTTGTGGGTAGTAAGCAGATACCAGAGCGGCCGCTCCTGTGCTGTATAATGCATACTTTGTTTGGCCTAGCTACAAGTATTAAGGGTACAAGGGGAAAAAAAAAAAGGTAGAATTTGATCTCTACTCACATTTATGGGACAAAAGGACATCAAAAGAGTCTGCCCATCTTGTTGCTTCTTCTGTCGACAGTCTTCTGTAAAGAAAGGAAGAGGCAAGTTACAGACAACCCATGGCTGCTGATCCCCTCTGGGGCTGTTTGACAAGGACACCGAGGAAGGCTGGAATTCTTCTCACTTAACTTTGGAGGTCTACAATATAGAGGTCTCCAGGTAAGCAAGTCACCCTGGGCTCCCCTTCAGAGTCAGTGAGGAGATACCAAGGGACTTGAGGGGACTTGACTCCCTTCACCTTATGTCCCCAGGTAGGCAGGTAAAATAGGCCAGATGAATCACACTCAAAAAAGAGACAAATTTTTCCTCGCTGACTCTGAGCAGAAGCCCAAGGAACAAGCTCAGATGTAGACATTTACATTATAAATGCCAGAAGTTAAGTGAAATGAAACCCACCCCTGAAGAAGTGTTTGTTTCTCTCTCCTGACTTTAAGGGAAAGGTTAAACTCTTAGCCTGGATGTAAGCAGTGACTTGTGATCAGATCAATCCCATCCCACTCATCTCTCATATCAGGACTCTGGATTGTCTGAAGCATCTGCCTGAAGCGTTAGGCAAACTAATACAGGACTTTTTGGTAGTGTTTAATAGCAAGCCTTAGCTAAGGAGGATGGTGACCCGAAATTGCTGGTCACCTCTTATACAGAGTCAACTGCTCAGACTTTGGTTCGTGATGACAGACGGGTAAACTACATCTTCAAATATGTGCAGACGTGTCCCATGTCAGTGGGGACCGTGAGCATGTCCTGTCTCACGGGAGAACTCATATCAATGATCCAGGTATTTTCTGAGGCTGTTCCTGCTGCATCAGCGCTGTTTTGTTTTCCTCCTTCTTCATGGATAAAAGGACTAGACAACGCTTATACAAAGTACAATAAAAGGAAGAGGGGGTGGTGGGTAGGGAGGGGAAGGACAGAAATAGGAGCAGGGTGGGATGCTGCAGCTATACTCACTTCAAAGCCCGGTTGGGCTTGTCCGGAAGAATAGCTGTGAAATCATTATATGAGTCTGATTTGTGAGACAGGCAGCCCAGACGAGTCCTCATCCCTCTGTTCCTGTGGTCGATGTGGGGGAGCAGGGGTGTGAGCAGGGGAAAACCAAAGAAGATGACGATTATAAGTTTAGCCAGAGTGGCAAAAAGGAAAAAAAAAAAAAAAGCCACAACCAAAACCAAAAACAAAAAAAACCTCAGTGGCTCTGTGCCTCATGAAACCTGTGTCCTTGGTCCCCTCACCTGCAGGAGGGACCCTGAAACCTCTCCAGTAAGATGCCAAGCAGATGCTAAGGCCGAGCACAGCCCCAGAGCAGCTGAAGGCTCACCCACACCAGTCATTCAGCTGCTCTGGCTGGCAAAAAGTCTTTTAAAGGCTGCGCTTTGGGATGGTTTCTTGGAAAGACCTGCGCCGGTCAGGTGTGAGAGGAAAGCAAAGGGCAGCGATACCAGAAATCAGTCGCCACAATCCAGCAGCACCAGGAACAGCACAAAGACCGGAGTCTGAGGGAAGGAGGGGGCTGGAAGAAGAGAGGGAGCAAGGCACCTGCAAGGTGAGCCTGTGCTGCAGAGCCACGAGGCCCCAGCCAGGATCCCAAGAAGCTTTTTTAGACTCCGGGTTACATAAGCAGGCTAAACCCGCCTCTTTCCTGACAGGCTTATCCAGGCAGAAAATGGCTTTATTGCTTTTTTCCTCTAAATTTCAAACCAGCCCTAGAGCCTTCGCTCCTCCGACCGGCCCCTCGCGTCCTTGCCAGCCCCTTCCTGGGATAGCCGGCTCGTCCGCAGCATCCTTCCTTACATAACCCCGGGATGGGGAGGAACACAAAGGGAGAGGGAAACACAACGTACACATGCATTATACGGGACTGGCATCTTCCCCTCTCAAAAACATACAGGTGCCGGTTAATGGTTTTACGTGATCTCTAGAGGGGCAGAGCCTGTGATTTGCCTCTCCAGCCCAGGGGCATCTCTTCTACTAGATTCCCCGGGCATCGAACCAGGCCGTTCTTTCCTCCGGACCATGGCAGGAGGGTATAGCAACCCAGTCTCCACTTCTCAGCTGCTGGACCCACTTCCAAGCTGGAGAAAGCCCTTCTCCGAGCCCTGCTGCCGAACAGATGCCAAATACTTTCTGTGACTGCAGAGGGAAGCACGGTATTTTTCCCTCCCATATGCAATTCTTTCAGAACGCTTCAGCACCAGCAACCGAGCCAATCTGTAGCACGCCTGTTTCCCCCTTCTCCTCCCGCCCTTCAGAGAGTTTCTATTATTGCACATTTTAATGTAATCTTAAAGCAAATTAAATGTTAATTAAATGCAATGAGTGTCTTCCTGGCGCAGCACAGGCAGCTCGCGGCGCTTAACAAGCACGAAAAACTGAAGATCTTCAGTCACAGAAATTGTTGCACAGCCCCAAAACGTGGACCGATGACCAGTGGTCTCTGGATGCTATGCTCCGTAAACCTCAAACACCAGTGCAAAAATACCCTTGCAAAGTGTCGCGTTCCTAGCTGAGCAGGCTGGACCTGCTGCGCTCAAACGGACACCGACTCTGCTCTAGGATCTTTCCCGATACCTCCTGCCCCAAACCTTTATCTTCCCTGCACTATTTGTTCTAGCAAGCTCACAAATTTCTCAGCAAGAGGTGTGACATGCATTACCGCAATGCCGCTCAGATTTCTCTCTGATGCCTGAGATCAAGGGACTGCAGCAAGGAATCAGAGCGTATGGGGGACAGAGATGCTGCGCCACGAGCAAGGAGCTTGTCTCTCATGGAACACCCGATCCCTAGGTGAGGACTTCCAAGACAGGACACAGGAGAAAGACAGGGAAAGAAACCGGGTCCGCAGGAGGTGGAGAGGCAAGGGAAGGGCAGGAGGGAAGAGGGGACACTGCAGCGAGCTGAAAGGCTCGCCGGACGAGGTAGACAGCGACAGGATGGGCAGGGGTGAGGGATGCATCATGTCTTTTCAGTTACCTCCGTGGGATCAGTAAGGCAGCCATTCAGGCATCCAGTTATGGTTAACCCTTTAACTGGCTGGCTTGGACAGCGCTCGGGGCTGTTTGCAGGAGGCAGGAGTGCGGAAAGGAGGGATTTACTGTTTCATGTCCTGGCACTTAAAAATATATCAAAGAATCCTCTGCAAAAAAAGGAGGACCAGTTGTTCTCAACCCATTTGATCCTTGCCTCCTAGCGTGGAAAGTCGATTTTTCAATGGAAGACGTTCAGAGTTGAGGGATGATCACACAGGAGAGACAGCATTTCCTTCTAAGACCAGGACCGCGGGTTAAGTCCAGCTTCGGGTCTAAAGTGACTTGAGTTTGGTGTCACAGCTCACCACGGAGCAGCAGGAGTTGGCATTAGCGCACTCATCATTCAACACCTCTGAAGGTCCCTCCTCAACAGGCAGAGCTCCGGGCTGACCTCGCTAAGAAGACCAAACTACCTCTTGTCCCTGTCCCTCCAGGTCATGGCTGATGTTACTGGCCAGGCATCATGGAAAAGCTGGCACTGCAAATAAAATAACAGGAGGACTTCACGCATCTGCAGGTGCTGGTCCTTTCACCATCACAGGCTCAAGCACTCACACAAAAATAACTCAAAGAAAGCATCTCCTCTTCTGGGTGGTGGGAGCCTGCGGGGAGCCACCAAGGAGATGCACAGTCTGAAAAGGGGAGGGAATGAAGCGGGGAGGGAGGGACATAGGGGATGGCAGAGACAGAGGGGATGGCAGAGTCCCCGTGAGCCTTGGCACACAGGCAGCTGGTTGAGCAAATCTCACATCAGAGAGTGAAGGCGAGGTCCACCAGCCTGGAGACCGATGGGACAGAGAGCAGGACTGTATAGTGAGCAAAGGGCAAAGATTTCTTATTTGCCAGGATAGGGCCAAGCTCCAGATAACCTCTGTGTCCTCTTGCCCAAGGGGGAACAACGGAGGAGGAGACAAAGGCACCGAGGAGAGCAGAGCGTGTGCGCAAAGGAGCCAGGATCCTGCTCGGCTGGGGCCTGGGGAGATCCCAGAGCTTGGGCTGCCCATCGCAACATCCCTTTTAAAACCTGATTACATTAAAAATGCACAAAGCCTCTTCCCAACTAAATTAATGGAACTGGGATTGTGCTACATGCCAGTGAGTGCATTCCTTTAATCCCTACCCTGACCGGCTGCTTCGATGCGCTTTAACTGAAATCAATCCTTGTAATTCCTTAAGCCCCTTTAAATTTCCTCATTAACAGCCTCAACCGCATGTGGGGCCACAACACACGATTTCCTAGAGTCTAGCAGCCCCTACTCCTCTTTCCCACTGCCGCTCCAAAACGACGGCTGGAAGCGAAGCCGGGTGTCCTCTCCCTTGCAGCCCCCTCTAGCATCCTGCTTTTCAGGGTGCTGTTATGAAACAGCTTTCTGCTCACCCCCGCTCCCGCCAGCCCCCGCAACAACCACCTGCACAGCTGAGCAGCACTGAACTTCCCTGCGATCCCAAAGTCTGTCTGACTTCATGGGCACCGAGACCTGTATTTCCCGTGAAGGCAATCCCACTGCTAGGCTGACATACCCACGGAGATTTCCTCTGATTGCAAATAAAGCCAGTCAATTTGAGTCAATAAAGCCAGACTTGAGAAATATGATCTGTGGCATCTGGTAAAGGCATCCTGGTAGGGGTCCGTGATGCGTTTGGGGTTTTTTTGCCTCTTGCTCCATCATTCATCCTACCTCCCCCTCCTATGAAAGGATCCCAGTGGTCAAGGAGAATTGCCAGCCTCATCATGGGTGTGTTTTGGGGGTTTCTCCTTGGGAGACAGAAAGGGAGGGGTGCGATTATGACATTCAGGTTATCAAACCACCCCCGGGGATCACCCAAGCAAAGATAGAGAAAAGCCATCCCAATACAAAAAATGAGCAGCACAAAGGTTAAAAAAACCCAAACAAACAAAAAAACCAACCGTGAGATCTCAGGGGCTTCAAGAGATTAAGACCATCCATTCGCATGCAGAGAAAGCCAGAAAAAGCTGAACACAGGCACTGCAGACAGACAGACACAGAGAAGGAGATACTCACTGCCTTTGCCCTGTCCTCTCTGCCGGTGGGTCTGTGCTGGCAGCCTGGTCAGAGAGGCTCTGGGGAGAGAGCAGAGCGGTCTTCTTCAGAGACAACCCCCTGCGCGGGGTGAAAGTCACACTCCAGCCCCCCTCCCCTCCCCTCCCCGAGCAGCAGCAGCAGCAGCGCAGCTCAGAGCAGAAAGAGCCCACCTGATCAGCACGTTCCGCTGCATCCCCCCCTTCACCCACCTGGCAGCAAAACCCTAGCTTCTCCCCCGCTGGAGATGGGGGACCGCTCCGCACGGGCGGCGGATGCCAAAGGCTGGCAGGGAGCATCTGGGGGTGGGGGGTGCCTGTGAAAGCGCTCGCTGTTGTCACCCTCGGTATGTTGGAATAAAGCATCCTCCTGCATCCTTTTAATCAGCTCCTTTGAGGTTTAGGGAAGGTTCCTGCCCTCGGATCACAGATCATCAGGAGTTGCCACAGTCAGAAGGGATGGGAGAGTTTAATTAAAGAGCCCAGGTGTCAGCAGGGCCAAATAAAATCGTTAATAGGCAAGGGAGCACCTTATTGCACGGCATGGGATACGAGAAGAAAAAAATCCACCTGGCAAATCAGCGATGTGACTGACCCCTTTCATCCATCTCCCCTTCTCTCACCTGATATGTGCAGTCCTGCTCACTCCCTTCCCTGCAGCAGGGTCCCTGCAACCTCCCTCGGCGCATCCACCCCATGCTGTAGGCACCAATTCCTTTTTCTCTCCCGCACCCACACCTCCATCCTCCAGAGGATGTATATGGGATGTCCGGTGCACCCCAGCGACTCTGACAACAACCTAACCTACGGCACAGATATGGTGGGGCTGGGCTTAGCTCAGCCCTTGGTAACACCACCTGGGTGTCACCCAGGCTGAACAGGCCTGACCCACTGAGGTCACTGACCCACTGAGGGCTCAGGCCATGGCATCTCCATTGCTTTTTTGATCCTGATGAAGTTGATTGACTAACAAAAATAATAATATTAATAATAAAAAAAGTCCTCTGCAGTTAAACAAATCATTGCCTTTTTCCTGGAAACTTGTAGTCACCTGCATCTTCTCTGCGAAAACACTGCTGGGCCTGACATCCCAGTGCTACTAGCAGGAAACATGTCTTGAGATAGCACATTATCACCAGGCAACATCCCTGGGGAAAGACAGAGTCCTGCAAAACTTACTACGAAAACACAGGGCTCGGAAGCACTACAGCAGTGATCCCAGCTCTCCATCATCTTGCACCCCCTCTTTCACAGCTCAGCTTGGCAAGGAAATATTTGCCTTGTTCTCATCCTCCCATCGCACAGCCCAGGTCATCCTGACTCGGATCAATCATGTCTCCAGTTATCAGAAGACAAGCACTGAAAAAAATGCCGCCCCTGATAACAATCTCCTCTCGGCCAAGGTCAAAGGTTGAGGTTCACCTTACACCTCTGGTATGACAGGACGGTTTGTTCAAGTTAAGTAACAGTCTGCTTCAGCCTTTGCCCCAAACCCCAGCCAAATTTAATATGCCATCACCACCAAGGGTTTAACTTCTAACATGTCATTTTTGTTTTGTTGTGATTCCACACTTCCAGGTTCTCTCTGGGCAACCACAGGATGTCAGGAGTGACGTTTTTGCAGTACTTCCAGGACATCCCTCAGATCTCAGACTTTGTGGAGTGGGGGAGGTCAACAAAATGTTCAATCGACAAAACCTTGGATAATTCTGGTCCATTACTCAAATACCTGGGCTTTGCTTCAGTCTCAAACAGATCAAAAACTCTGATCCCCTAACTCTGGATGGGATAGATCAGATGGACCACGTGAGTGCTTCCGCTCCTCCTCCTGATCTTATGCCAGTTGTATATATTGCCATTTCATAGCCATCACCGCTATGGATGGAGACCCCAGTCCCTATTTCCTCAGGATGTCAGTCCACCCTTTTTGTGACCTCAGGGAGACCCTGGAGCAACCCACAAATGATGCTGAAGATCAACAGTTTTTTCTTCTAGTTTCCCAGGTCAGGTGTGAGTTAATAGAGAACACAAATAAGTGAACTTTGTTGACACAGGCACTATGGGAAATGTAATTAAATTGCAGATAAAGAGAATTATATTTTTACAGGGTAATATTTTAGAAAGCTTCTGTGCAGCAGGAGAAGAGCTTTATAGCAAATTCCTTCTCAAATGGCCCTCCTGCTTCTGACTAGTCCGTAGCTTCTATTTAAAAGCTTTTAATAAAATAACTCATTTTGATATTAGGCTTGAATCCTATCCAAAATTTTAAATCTCTCCAAGAAATACTTTAAAGCAATTTCCTCATGACCTGCTAACAGCGAACACACAAGTGGGGAACACGTGCAACATTGGGAGTGTTGGCTGTTGCTGGAGAGGGTGGAAGGGAATTTGTCAGCCTGTTCCCAGGATGTTAATCTTCTCTCCACCATCTCCAGGGTTCTTTTCACCCTCCCTGTTGTTTTAAACTCCTCCCTGCCTATTCCATGTGTTTCGGCCATTGATCATCATTTTACCCAAAAACTTCTTCTGGACCAAACACCTCCACCAGTTTCACTTGGTCCCAGTTTTTGCCACCCGACTGCTAGATAAAATTGCGTGGCCTGAAGACATCTGTTCCTTCCAGTACGGCTGCCCTCACGTATCCATCCAGACCAGGAAGGCAGCGCTGGCTTGTAGTTGTGTGGCTTTTGCCTCTCCAGATGCAGGGGTGCTCCTCCCAGGGCTGGCAGCTGACCACCCTCCTCAGTTTGGGGCTGGAAGATCAGAGGATGCCTACACTGATGCTCATTTGCTTGGCTGACATCTCCCAGTGGGTCTGCCTTAAACAAGCCCCTTCACCTTGGCATTTAAGCAGACTTCTCCCTATCTTCTCACTCTTGCTCTGTTTCCTTGGGGGTCTGCTGCTGCTCTGGGATTCCATTATTTTATGCTTAACGAGCCATCACGTCAAGCCCGCCGCTGTCGCTTCCACTTCTCGTTTCTGACTTCGTGGCCTTGTCATATTTACAATGATCTGTGCCACAAGGGCTTTCAACTTCTTTGGGCTTGCGTTCTCTCTTACTTCGTGACTTCTCCTGGTTCTGTGCCAGCACCTCTCTTTTCTAGTGCTGCAAGGAACTTGTTTGAGGGTGTGCTTCGTGACTTGCTAGACCAAGTGGTTTTTCCCCAGCGCCCAGAAAATGCTTCTTCAGACTGCTGTGATGTTTGGCAGCCACGTCCCCACAGCTGAAGTCATTCGCTGGTACGTTTTCGTGAGATGCTGTCGCCTCTGTGATCTCTCTGGAAGATGCTCGGTGATGCAGGTTCTGTGACTGCGAAATCCCATGGGGCCAGCTGCCTCCCGCAGTAGTCACTGCTTTGGGAATGCAGGTGACCTGCATGCTGCAAAGCCTGCCTTTGGCTCAACCACAAGCCTCCAGCCATGGTCCACTGCTGCTCTGACCCAAGGGGGCTTTGATTTTCTGCTGGAGGACCAGAAGGAACAACTACCCTTGACCTGGAATGAGAAGCCTAGCAAATCTCTCATAACACGCAGCATCATTTGATCTCCTCTGACACACGGTCATTCAAAATTTATCCAGAATCCAGACTGGTACCTATATCGGCCCAACCCCAAGGTAATTCAAAATAGTAATTAATTTATGTCCAGAGCTTGCTGTTCACCACTGTTTGCAATTAGAGCTGGAAGAAAATTGTTAGTAGCTGACATCTGACATGCAGTGCTCCGCTCACTGTGCCAGGCTGTCCATGGGAAACCACACTCGGTCCAGCACGAGGTAACTGTCTTGGCAGGAGAGAATTACGACGGACATGGATCGCTTCCTAAATTGCAAAGCGAATCACAGACTTGTCTTACTTGTGAAGAGACCAGTGAGAACAGCTTCCCCTTCTAAAGAAAAAAAAAAAAAAAAGAGCTCCAGTAACATCAGGAAACATCCGCAGATGTAGCTCAGAATGTTTTTAAGGGGCTAATTTTTCTATTCACCTCAAACCTCAAGTAATTTTCCACATCAGCCCAGGCAAGCAGGAAATCCTGAAAGGTGAAACAAGGAGAGCTTGAGTTTCAGGGCTAGGTAAGGAAAGCAAGCAGCTGATATACTGGGTGGGGGGTTGATAAAAGAAGCCACCTCTCATGTGCTAACGAGGCAGGGCAGGAGATGGGAGTTCAACTCAGTGGGTGTCTCCTCTTGAAAATAAAAGACTGTGTTTAAAAATAAAAACGAGTTACATAAAGCGTGATCCACAGTTCTGTCTCCGGCTGAGCTTGAGAGCATGGCAGCTATTTAAATTCTCCCCTGTGTCAATGATAAAAGTATCTCCTGGACACATTTGCAGCACCCGGGCGTTGCGATTGCTGCAGCAGAACAGATGCCTCGGCTGCGAGATGGCTCCTGGCCCCAGCCTGCCCGCTCCCAGCTCCCTCCTCAGTTCCTCCAGGCAGGTAGGATGCCAAACCCACAGCGAAGCCGTGTGGGAGGCTCCGGGCTGAGCGGGGCAGCGTGCGAGACACAAATCAAAGGGAAGAGTTTCCCCTCTAAAGCACTGTATTACCATTTCATAATTGTTCTCCAAGGAAACATGCTCCCGTGCCCAGGAGCAGTTACACGTAAAGAAGTGCGTCGGTGCCTCTGCGTGTGCGTCGGAGAGGATGCTGCGAGCGTGGAGCAGGGAGGCAGAAAGGATTGGAGTTGACACAGAGCTGCTCTGTGCAGCCTTGGAGTCCTCCCAGCTTTCAGCATCGCTGCTGCTGTCAATATGGCAGTGTCTGTAACGCAGTTGGTGTGTATGGCTGGGGAGCCGAGACAGATCCACCCCGACAGACAGAGCTCCGCAAAGATCCCCTACCGCAGATGCTCTGTCCCCTGTGCGTTTTTGACTGAGAACTGATGCTTGAGATGGGCCAGGGAGCGAGGCTTGCTGACAGATGGGGTTAATTTTTCTGCTGAGATCATTCAAGGTGCTTGCAAGCAGCCTGCATTTTGCGAGCTGAACTCTGCAAACTAGTCGTTTACTGAATGTCAGAAATCAGCTCCCACATCCCAGGGTTGCAGTCACAAATCCATTTATGACCGACAAGGTCTATGCTTCTTTGCTCTTATCACTGTTATTTCAAAGACTCGGGCTTACTGGGCATCCAGGTCCCACCGCAAGGACTTTCTGGGGCTATTAACCGCTATACAGACACACGACGTGGCACTGGGAGGTCACTCCTGCTGCAGCAAAACACCTGAGCACGTGCTTAACTTTAAACATGTGAGCAGTCCAATAGGTATTTGTACAATGAAATGCAAACAGAGTTAACCACATGGGTGAGCTGGGATTTCTCTTTCATCTCTGCAGGCTGCTCCTCTAGCCTTAATTAAAACATAAATTGGGTGAGTGAGATGGGCTTGTCCTCTTTCTCCAGCAGACGGTGTTTCTTTCATAAAAATGTCTGCTGCGTCTCTGCTCGGGAGACCGGCCTGCAATCATTGCCTGCGTCCTGCCAGGCTGGATAGAGAGGCACACCGAGCCCTGCCACCACCTGCGCCGGCCAAGCCCCAAGCACTGGGCAACATCTCCAGAGCCGCGTGGAAGGACTGCAGGGCAAGGAGCCAGGCTCGTCCTGCCAGTGCAGATGGTGCTGCTTCGGAGGAGCCCGGGGCTGCAGGAACGAGCCTCAGAGAAGGGCAGCATAACAGGACAGCAAAAGCACAGCACAACAGGACAGCAAAAGCACAGCCCTTTGTGCAACATGGACGCTCCCCGGATGGAGGAATGCGAGTGCATTCCTCTGGGATGGGGTGCAATGATAGTCAGCCACAGAGAGACGGTGCTAGCATGACAGGTCCCTTGTATTTCTTTAGCTGTGCCAGATTACCAGCTTATTCCCCCCACCCATCAAGCAGCAAAGAGATGGCCCTTGCTGCTGCAGGGATCCCCAGGAGTTACAGCAGCCCCGCAGCCAGGGCTGCAGGAAAACGAGCCCCCCTCGGGTTAGCCCCCAGTTCTTCCCCCAAATTGTGCACACGCTCATGCCATCTGCAAGTTTTCGCTACGGCCTCTGCTCGATGCAGTTCTCTCGCCTCCAACACGTTCTCCTTTCACTCCAATTAGTCTTATTTTTAACTAGCTCAGCCCCAGTGTTCAGCCCGGGTGTTAGTCACAATGTCACAGATACCCAAATATTCAAAGGAAATACAATCTACCATGTTAAAATAACAACAACAGCGAAGGGGAGTGGGGGGAGAAAGAAAAGATGGTGAAGATCTCAGAGCTGCAGGCACCAGCACAGACTCATGTTTTCTCCCAACATCAAAGGCCCGCCGCTAATCCCATTGCAACGGAGATCACCCCAGAATCAGTCCTGCTCCTGTATTAGCCCAGCCAGAGCTGGGCTGGGGTTAACGTAAGAAATACGCCGCTCTCTTTCCCCGCCTGCTAATTAGAAGCGGTGTCTGTGTCCCTTTAACCATTCATAAGACGCCACGAGAAGATTAATGCACCGGGAGAAGTGCTGCCGTGACATTAATAGGGGTGACATCTGAGCAGCACCCTTCCCCTCCCGCTTTGCCTGCGGAGCCATCCTTCCCTCCAGAAAACTGGGGCAGGAGCAAGTAAAATTCCCTCCCCCGGGGCCTCGTAACCAAGCAGAGGACCACAGGGCCTTTCATCACCCACCAAGGCCGTCCTAGCTCTTACCTGGCTTGCAGCTGGCAGCAGGGTGGTGGCTACGTGGCTTTTGGTGCTTGATGGACATGGCTGGTTGAGACCCTGAGGAACAGTGTCTGCAGACTCCCGGTGCATCGGGGAGGGCAAAGGACCCAGCCGGGCCACAGTTCTCTCTGGAGGAGCAGCAGCACTGTGCCACTTTTCCTGGCTCCCTAGCCCTGCATCTCGTGAAAGGAACAAGAGCTGGTGGAAGGAGGGGGTTACAAAAGAGAGGGAAGGGGGAGAAGGGAGAGCGCGAGCGCGCGCTCTCGCAGATGCAGGCACGCAGAGCAGACAGAGGCTTGTATAGGATGGCACTGCCTGACTTGCTCTCATTATTGCCGCAGGCTGGCTGCTGCCCATGGCAGTGTCTGCCTCCCGGTGCATCGGGGAGGGCAAAGGACCCAGCCGGGCCACAGTTCTCTCTGGAGGAGCAGCAGCACTGTGCCACTTTTCCTGGCTCCCTAGCCCTGCATCTCGTGAAAGGAACAAGAGCTGGTGGAAGGAGGGGGTTACAAAAGAGAGGGAAGGGGGAGAAGGGAGAGCGCGAGCGCGCGCTCTCGCAGATGCAGGCACGCAGAGCAGACAGAGGCTTGTATAGGATGGCACTGCCTGACTTGCTCTCATTATTGCCGCAGGCTGGCTGCTGCCCATGGAGAACTCGCCAGCATCTGCTGCTGGCCGGGGGCACGGTGGGGAAAAGGGACAGGGAAGAGATTAGGACCTCACGGACCGCTGGGGCAAGGAAAACTACTGCCTGGGCACCGGGAGCTTTATTGTCTTTGTTTGCTTTTACCTGGGAGAGGAAGGGCCGTGCTAGAGAGCAGGAAGGGATTGCGGTGCTAGAGAGTTCAGCTTTTCCTTGACAATTCCTTTCCTCCTTTGAACATAAAAAAAATGCCCAACCCCAGTCCTCCTCAGCTGCACCAAGGGATGGCGTAGGGCTAGCCTGACCCAGAATTTTTAAAGATGGCATTGCATCAAGACAGACAGAAAGTGGGTTGCACATACCCAAGACACCAGCATCGTTCAAAGCTCAGCCTCCCCTCGCTCCATTCCCATCATCCGGGTCATGCCGATACTGGTCCAGAGGCATGGCAGGGTTGTTGGAGGGTGCGGACAGACACCCCAGCCGTAACACCTCCCATCTGTGCGTTCCACAGAGCGCTGCCTGCAGAGCTGCCTGCAGTCGGCGACACTCTGCTGATCTGCCACAAGGACAGACCCAAAACACCGGGGACTCAGAGGTCCGGCCGTAATCCTCCCCAAAGGGGAGCACCAATTCTTCAGTCCACAGATTTTCACAATGTGCTTTTCTAAAGCATCACATGCTTAGAAGCACGTGCCCCTGTGGAAGGAAAGGAGAGCTTTGTGCCTAATGCCCTTTTCAGCTTTTTGAAAGATCCCAGACCTCTTCCCCTCTTCTGCCCTAGTGGCTTACCCCTCAGAGGGGCTGGGTCTTACCTGGGTGAGTGCTCAGTTTGGTCAGAAGGATTAAAATGAAAGTGGAGTCAGATGCTGAAAGCATTATACCCTCCCCCGAACCCCTCCAGTCACCCATTTACCACAACTCCCTACTCTAAGGTTTCCCACTGGTGATTTCAGAGACGCATGGATACCGAGCCACGTGGATGCCTTTAATAAAAATCAAATGCACTGAATTACAAGCGCAGAAAGTCTCTGAATCAATACCCTCCACAGCAGTTAACCTGAGAGTACACCGCGCTGCCCGGTCTGTCCCTCTCTCCAAGTGACTATCTCCAACAATACACCTTCAAGACTCAACCGAGATCACACGCACACATCTACAGCAGAGCAGGATAGGACCCAGTCCTACTGAGCCAAAATCTGGCACCGCAACCACCTGCTTGCTCAGCTGGCCTCAGGATGTCGGTGCCCAGCTCTGGGAAACATCTCTCACACTGGTCACTCTGCCAGGAGCTGTCAAAACATATTTCAAGTCACAGCATGCCATCAGCCCTGGAATAGACAAGGTCTCACTGTGGGTCCATAGCTACGGATGGCTTCCCTGACTGTAGCAGCAGATACCTTGGCCCAGGGGATGATCATTTGAGGACCTACAACAAGGTATCTTTATTTGCCCCACAACAGGAGAAAGAAGCTGAGATTTGATGCTATGTCAAGATCCTGACCATTTCCCCTCCATGGAGAGACCCCAGCAGCACCGGGGAGCTGGATCCTTTTAGGCTGCTGAAGTAGGGAGCGGTATCACTGCAAGGGGGGCGCAGGCATCTGTTTCCCAGCCCTCTGCATCTGTATTACTTACATCACTAATAAAGCAGCCCAGAGTCTCAGCGGATGCGAGTCAGCTTTCTTACACCCCAGGGCTGGGAGATTTCCAAATGATATCCATTCTCTATAGTGCTTTTTTTAATGCGGATACACTGCAGTGCAATCTCCCAGTACATTCAGGGGGGTGGGGGTGCACCATCTTTGGGGGAAACAATACCCACATCAGTGTCTTCTGGGGAGCGAGGAGCCATCTGCTCTGTGCCCCAAAGCATGCAGCCAACCTTCCAGTCTCCAGGATGCCGTGCAGCCTGCCAGGGAGGCAGACCCTCCGGCAACCTTGCAGCCATGCGGCTGGGGTCTGACTTTCCCCATGGGGAAAAAGGACAAGGCACCTCGGATGAATTGCGGTGCAGTATCCAGGACTTCGCAGGGTTGTGCCACTCGCAAGGGGACACTGTCAGTGCCACTGTTCATCACCACTGTGAAGGCTTTATACGGGCAGGGACGACTTCTTCCCGGGTGAGCCAAGACTTCCAGCTGCGTGTGAAAAATCAGAGCGTTTGTTTTGTATGTGTGTGAAAGCCTAAACTTAGCGAGCAAGATGTTAATTCGTGAGGGGAAAATAGGCCATATTTATGTAACTGGGAAAAGCTGCAGTGAAGGCTACGGATCCAATGGGAGAGGAGTGTATGTTCAGGGCTAACGACAAATGCTGCTATTCACTCGGCTTTGTCGAGAGCTCCAGCAACTGCATATTCATCGCCCTGCACCCCAGAGAACCGGCTTTGAGGCTTTCCAGGCTAAGAATAGAGGTCTCGTTGTGTTTGCTGCTCCGCGGCCCGGGTTTTGTCCGGGATTAGAGGCACCGGTGTGTGGAAGCCTGGCTGAAGGAGCGCTGCAAATGGCAGCATCTATGCACGCCTGAAAGCAGTGCGGGGCTCTCGGCTCAGCAGGGGTGGAGAGTGCTGGATAAAGGGCGAATTCATTCACAGCCACGCAGGGTGGCATTAGTGCTGGCCCTTTGCTCACAGAGACATCCCCAGTGGTGGATGGGGCACTCACAACACACAACTCCCTTGTGCATAAACAAAACCCAAGCATCTTTCAAAGCAGGGCAGCCAGGGCAATGCCTGTTACTGAAATTAGCAGCTCGTCCTGCCTGTAAAGTCTGATGGCTTGGATCCACCTCGGAAACCCTGGTCCCTGCAGGGGCAGACAGCTTCACCAGCAGTCTGCCCACCCATGACATTTCTTTCCGCTTCTCCTCACACACATATTCCGCCCTACTTAAACTGGGTTGCAAATCCAGCAATACTCAGCCTTGGGAATATAAACCCCAGAGCTAGTCACTCAGGTGTTTTTCAGATGCCCCACGCCCTGAGAGGTCTTTTAGCTCCAGACACCGTCACGTGGCAGTGCTGGCACTAGTGGGAAACAGCACGATACTGCTACTCGTCTGGCTTTGAGTTTGTGACCCTGGGACTCTGGTAAAGCCCTTTATTGGCTAAACTGGGCTTGCAAATAGCAGAAAAGGTAAATTCCCTCCCATGGGGAAACCAAGAGTAAAACACTGAATTGTGGACACTTGTGTAGTCTCTGGTTCCACTAGTCCCTGATCCTGGGGTCACATTCCTGGACACCTATCCGAAAGCAGCAGGGCATAAGACTTCCAAGGATGGTGACCCAGAGCTTTGAATGCCTGCAAGGAGAGTCCAAGCCAGGGGCAGTACTGAACAAAGGCATCAGCCACAGACGGCTGTATCGTAACTTCTGTGTGACTGACGTCCAGCCTGGGAGCTAAGGGAGACCACCATGTCACAGGGGACGAACAGACCAGAGTGTTAATATTAAGTGTTAGTACAACCGATATTAAGTGTTGTTGTCAAATAAATGGAGACAGAAATGAGTTTTTTGAAACATCTGCAGAACAGATTAATCTCCTGAGGGAAAGCATAGTCTCTGGAGAAGGTCTTTCTTGCTAAAACATCACGTAACAGAGAACTCTTTTGGGAAGGGACTCTTGAGATAACCTCTCTTCCCGCTAACACAAATGCCCCTGGGAGCAACACTCTTGGTAAAGCATTTCTGGAGAAGAAAAAGTCTTAAAAACCCCTGCTATTAATTCTGTATTTACCCTTGCTGCAGCAGCAGCACACAGAGTTCAGAGGTGAGCCATCATCTTCCAATGCTCCATCCTAATCACAACTGAGAAGGATATAACAATGTTCCTGCTGCTCTCTCATTTCCTTCGGCTGTAGCTCACCGCTCGCTCAAACTAACCCGCTGTGAGCAGCAACACTGCAAAACGTGTTTTGGAGTTGTATTATGGCTCTGTGGTGCACAACCACAGGGGACTTCCCATCTGTTGCTGTTTGTTTAGGCCTCGCATTGCTAAACTAACATCTGGGGAAACTGCTGAGCCTCTGCTTGGAGAGGAGACGTGCATGTCTTTACTCTCTGTGGAAGTTGGGGTGACCCAAGTACCATTTGGCAAAGAACAAGAGGCCCAAGAACCAAGTCATCCATCTCCATTGCCTGGACTGTTGCATTTAGATGCTCTCATGACACTGACCAAGATAACATAAACACAGTCCAGCCATTCTGACCCTGAGAACTGGCTTGCGTGTCTGAAAAATCATTTGCCAGCTCTGACCTGCAGGTTAACTTGTCCTTTGGATTTCTATCACTGCAGCCCAGCAAAACCTGGAGTGATGCTGTGAGTAAGCAGAAAGCCCCTTCTGAGTAGCCACGAGTTGGGAAGGTCTGTCCCCTAAGGAAGGCAGCCCCCAGAATCAACACAGGTGGGGAGATGGGGCTGGCTCTGGTACTTAAGGTTGGCTCTTCCTCCCTCCCTGCCAG